CAGTCACCTTTGAGTTTTATATATATAGATTAAAAATTTGTGTTATTATTTTGATGTTGACTCTTTGAGGTTGAAAGAAAATATTTTTTATTAATCCTTAAGAAAACACAGCGTGTTAAAAGTTACTTATACAGTAAGGGCTAACCAGGACCCTGCCTCAGCATTAGCTGATGCGATGGGTCATTGTGTCGCACGCATTGGGTTGCGTTGTGTTTCTGTGGATGAGTGAAGTTTACGGGTCCAGGTTAGGTAGGTCTAGGGATGAAACGATACCATCTAGGTATCGATATTTTTACTCGATACTGTATCGGTCATAAGGTATCGATGCCTACTCGGTATCGAATGTAAAGTATCGATAAATTTTGACGAAAGATATTACAAATTCAAATTCAGTCACTGTTTTAATTTAACGTCAACAAAATATCGGCTCGATGAACGAATAGAAACTGACAGACTGAATAAATTGAAATAAATATAAATTATACGCAACAAAAATACTAACTAGAAACTTTACCATAGAGTAAATAATCTGCCTATGAGTTTTTATGATACTTCTCAGTGTGTGACCGACCGATACAAGTACTTACTTCACGATACTACTTGTTATTCAGTTCTAAAGTATCGATGCCAAAAGTACTCGGTATCGAAAGAAAAGTATCGAGTAGTTACTTGTATTTACTCGTATCGTTTCATCCCTAGGTAGGCTTAGATTAAAACAAAAAGGGTAGATATAAATAAGTATGAGACTTGCATCAAACAAAAACTGATCCCACGGCAGCGCGAACGGGATGGCGAGATCCGCGTCACTGCATTACCGACCCGAACGAAACAGCACGTTAAGTTTCAACGGCAGCGCGAACGAGACGGCGAGATCCGCGTCACTGCACTACCGACCAATCACGCGACCAGTACTCGACGTCACTACCGAATAAAATTCAAAACAAATAGCAATTTTTATGAAAAAATATATTTTATAGTACTTACGAATGAAAAGTGATGCCGTGGGTTTTATTTTTAGTTCTTGAGCAATTTGAGCACTTTTTAAAAACACACTTATGCATTGTTTTATCATATAAACACAAAATATTAGCAATATTTCTTTTTGGCGTTCATATGTACGTCGTTTGCATGTCAAGTTGTGACTAAAGCGATTAGGGTCGTGGACCACGATGCATGCTGACCACTTTTGTGAGGCTAGTGCCGTTCTACCCTTTTTGTTTTAATCTAAGTAAGTAGGTAGGTCAGTTTTGTACCAGCAGCTTTCCCGACTAGTTGCGGTCGTGGCACGCCGAGGCCGAGACCGACCGTATGAGTTGGTATGGGTGAGGTCCGAACCCCATAAATGTCACAAACTAAAACTGTCCCCTAAAACCACGGTGACATCTGCAATTGATGGCTACCATAACATTTTTTAATGCCAATACACCAGTTAGTTATCCGGCCATACTTTCCCACTGTTTTAAACTTTTTATTTACGGCCGCTTTGTTGGTAAAACTTTTATTATGTTTTCGTAATAAAAGCGACTTTTATCTAGAATCGATCGCTCAGGCCGACGCGACGTGTAAGTATTTTTTTGTTTTATTAATAAATAAATTTTGTTTGAGTACGTTTTTCGCTAGTGGCCGTTCGTGGCCGATTAAACGGCTTTATGACATGTTTATAAGGGCATAAAGTTTATGATAATTTTAAAGTGTAATTGCGTTTTGATGGGTTATTTATTAAGGTCCAAACGAGGGTCGTACAATCTGTAAAATGTCTTTATGGAATGCTGATTTGGTTTGGAGAAAATTTAAACAGAAATTTGTAAAATACTATACAAGAAAGTTGTGTTAAAAATATAAAAGCGTTTAATTCAGACATAGCCTTGGACACATTAAGGATATGCAGTTTCTTTATGTTAAAAGAGTGGTTGAAAGCAAGCGTATGGCCTGCTTTTTGGTAAGCGGTCATCATAGGCTATAAGCACTTGCAATACCAGAAAAATAATCACTCACCCCGTTGCCTACCCTGACCAAATAACCCTATCCCATAGAGCCCTGAAAGGAACCTTACTCACAGACGAAAATACAACAGTACTAAAAGGTGGTTATATTTTTCTGTAAGGCGGAAGTTACTTTCATTCCAGCAAAAAATCCGTTATGCCCTACTTCGCTTTTCTCTTCTAGCCCTTCTTTTTTTATTGATAGGTCCGATAAAATACTCCACCACACCTGATGTTTAGTGAAGGTGAAGTCCAGACGCGAAGATAGCTGATACAGCAAGTTTACCTGCCCACACCAGCCGTCCTCACCCTGCCGGCCTGCATGTTGCTTCTTCACGCCTCTTTTAAAGGATCCCAGGTTGTAAGAGGGAGGGAACACATGAGCGGGCAGAGCATTCCATTTACGGATAGTGCGACAAAGAAATGAGTCACCAACACAGTTAGACGGTGACAACGTAAGCGAGCGCGCGTGGTCCTCTGAAGGAAAGGGGAAGGTGGAATAAGAGAGAATAACTCCTCAGAACACTCGCCGTGGTACAGACTATGGAACGCGCTTAGTGACGCCACGTCAAGGCATAATTGAAGAGGCTCGAGGTGTTTAGCCACCTCCTCATCGCCTATGATGCGGATCGCGCGCCGCTGTAACATATCCAAAGCATCGAGCAAGTACTTGACGGAGCCATCCCAGAGGTGCGAGCAATATTCGACGTATACCGCACCTGCGTCTTATACAACAAGCACAGTTGTTCGGGCGTGGAAAAACGCCGCAACTTGTTCGGGACTCTGAGTTTTCTTCTCGTTTATAGAGTATTTTCAATTTGGCGACTCTCCATAGAATAATACGAAGACAAAAAAACAGCCCTTTGAGAGTTTCTTACCGGTTCTTCACAGTACAAAAGGTCTCCAGCCGTAGATTTGCGAACCGATGGCATAGCTTCTGGACCTTCACAAGTGCTTGTAACAGCCCATATTGACCCATTTGTTGCTACGGTTTGACATACGGAGCATTTTGCAAACAAAAAAGAATGTAGTTAGTTTCGAATTGTATTTTTTATGTTATACGTTAGCTGAGTAGTCACTTTGTCGGTCTGTCGTGATGGTGTGTGTTGATTCTGATTTTATTATAATATAATAAAAAACAAACAAAAGTCTTTAATATAATAGACAAAGAATGCAGGTAGTATATTCGTTCTTAAGATAAAAAAAAAAACAAAAAACAACGAAAGATAGATGAGTAATTAAGTGTTGAGCTGTATTTTTTGTTAATGTACAGAGACTCAGACTTAATATATCAATAACCATTTTTTTTTATAGATAGGTCCGACAAATGACTCCACCCCACCTGATGTTAAGTGACGGTGAAGTCCAGACTCGAAGATAACTGATACAGCAGTTCTACCTGCCACACCAGCCATCCTCACCCTGCCGGCCTGCATGTTGCTTCTTCACACCTCTTTTACAAGACCTTTCTTTTAAAGAAGGATATTTTTGCTAACAGCATTAAATTGCGCTTAAAGCCTGGTTATAGGAAAGTAAAGGCCTAAATTGGTCTTGCAACATTTTGCTGTAAGCAAGGAGTCTTCTTCTTAAGTTCTTGAGGAGCGCGATGGCGCAAGTGATAAGCGCATTCCACTGCGATCGTTGAAGTTAAGCAACTTTAGCAGTGGCCGGCTGCATCTGCATTTGTTAGCACCCACCAATACGCACTGGGCCCGCGTGGTGGGTCATGGACCAAACTCCCTATTCCATAGGGAAGTCCTGTGCCCCCGAAGTGTGGGCATTAATAGGCTGATGATGAAGGAGTATTTTCTAAGGTGGAAGTTACATCCCCAGATTTGGAATTCTTAAAAGGTAATATAATTAAATTAATTAGTTATAATATTCGTGTCTCCCAAAGCTGTCTTAAGTGGCTATCGGCAGTTAAAGTCATTGCCTGTAATTGATACGGAGGCCACTAAACCGGGGGATAGACCCATTCCCTTATTTTAACGGCCTATAAACTCCTAACCGCGATACGTTGGCCCCACCGCGTGTTAATTATCGCTTTATGGCTGGTTTTACTTGTCTTTTGTCGCCACAAGCCTGTTTATAACAGTAACTTTTATTTCAATCGTTGCAATAAACAATAATCAAAACTAACATATATATAATATACTTAAATAGCACGTAAGTACTTAATTAAGTACAATCGCCGATATTCTGTTACTTAGTAATAAAAGTACACACATTGACTAAAACACTATTTGACTCAACTCATATCGGGTCTTTTAGTTAGAGAAAGTTAAATGACAATAATTAAAGAGAAACTTCGCATTCGCGAAATTTAAATCAAACTGGTTAAAAATTCCCATCCGTCTTCATAAAATTTTAATCTCAAATATCAATTAAACCAATGAAGTTCAAGACTTTAAATGCTTTTAAAGCACAACGATTGTATCAGGCAGAATACCAGCCAATTAGTCAATAAGCCGGTGCACGGCGTGCGCACGCGCCGCGCCGGCTGTCTCGCTGCCACTTCCTCTGATCTTTGACTCGGCCAATTGCCAGCATCTGCCGTCTTGGCTCCTCTGACATAAGACCTGCTCAATTGAACCCACCTCCCCGCTCCCGAGGTGAGCGCGGGGAGAAGTGTATCAACCAATTCTGTCTTGGGGACGTCGAGCTCAAACTCAGTTTTGCCACCATCAAAGTCTTATTACAAAACAATAAGGTCCATTTTAAGATAACGTATCAGCAAAACGAAGTTTGTAAGGAAATAATGTTACTCAATCAGTTATTGTCACGACTCACTAGGATATGAATTGAAGTGGTTCGCGATCAACTAGGTGTTTCCGTTGCGTCAGCTGTTTGCTCTGGCTCAGGCGTATTTGGACAGCGACTGAAATGCCTTTTCCTCTGTTTTTGCAAACAACAAACATCCTTTGCAAAGAGACAATAATAATGACGTTTTACTCTCTTTCGGGTTCTGTGTTTCTCAGAACAAGAATCCATGACAAGAACTCAGTGTTTACTCGTCACCATGATATGCGTCATCCAATAAACTTCAACATAGTGTACAAAAGTAAATAATGTTAACATAAAATTCAAAATTCAAACAACACTACCAAAAGATTTAAAAGTAAAACATATTCCTTGAAGGGACATAAGTAAATTCAGTATATACAATGTAGAATTGAGTTAAAAAATTGGTGATAATGATTCCAGTTCCGACTAGCGATCGGATAAGATTGATGAAAAAGAGCCACAGAGCGAGACTGATATCAGAAATTGTTGGGAATCCCGAAGATTACCGCTCCAATGAGTTTGCATCGTACTTCCGAGGCGCAGTAAAGGAATGCGAACCAACATGCGTGCTCACTTCACATGTCAAAAGTAATCAAATTCAGCCAAACAGAAAGAAGAACATTCATACCTACCCGTCTCTTATACAAAATCTTCGATGGAGTCCCTACGTGGAAATGTCCTCAACGAACGACTCAAATACAGACATTATAGACAATAAACGTACTTTTGAATGCAAATGCAATAGTTGCAATGAAATGAAATGTCCATTCAAAGCGTCGCTGCCGGACACAAAACATGGAGTGTTCAAAGACAACATAATGACATTTTCAGATCAATACACAATGACACCAAGACTGAACGACGTATGCTGTAGCGTCTGCTTACCCGGGCTTTCGACCCCGCAGTCATCTAAAGTATGTGTCGCAGCTAGAGGCATTGAGAGTGATGAATATAATCCCAAAAGTGTAAGTAAAAATTGTGCTCCAATACCTATTTTGAAAAAGACTAATCGTCAACCTCAAGTTTTGTCGCATGGACACTGTGGATACGCTACTGGTCATATACCTTCTAAAATTCGTCAGGAGGCTGTTAGAGACACGGACATGGCGGCAGAGGATGATTACTGCGAGCCGATCAAGCAGAAATCTTTCAAATCCTTCTTCAAACTAAAGAAAAAGCCTGTCATTGAAAATAATAACCCAGTAAACGAAGGTGTTAGGAAGATTATTTACAATGAAGGTATAAGCGATGAAGTGGCAAACTTCGTGCCGCCTGTTGGTATTCCTCCACCTATCAACGTAGAACGTGGTATCAGTAAGATAGCAATCAGGAATGAACGCGATGACGGGATTCCTTACAGCCACAATACTGAATCTAGATACCATCACAATTGTAAGAAACCCAATTTGAATATGAATTATTATACTGCAGACTTCGAAGATGAGCGGATTGATAGTCCGATTATTGGAAGAAAGTTTGTGGTTTCCAAGTTGCCGATGAGTCAGTACAAGGTACAGAGGATATCGCTTCCAAGGAAAGTGCTGACTTCAGAAATGGATATTGACTCTTATGTGGAGAGGAACAGGCCTGCCCCACCACCGCCGCCAAAATGCCGTCGTAAGCGAAGTAAAATGTTGTTTTAAAACAGTTATATACTTTGGAGTAATCTCAGTCTGTACCACAAGTCCTTCTAATATTTCTTGATGCATTTAATGAGGAATTAAATTTTAGATTATTTAATATTCAGTAAAACTTATCTGTGATATTGTTTATTTACCTTACCGATGTAACGAGACGGTGTGGTTATAGTAGTATGATAAACAATTATGTATTCATTATTATATTCAATGTAACATTACGGGTATGTTATTTGTTATTTTTTTTTACAGAAACACAAGTATACATCAGGTATGTACATTACATACATTACATTAAGGGTTTTTTTTTAATTAGCTTTTGTTATCAATAATTTTACCGCTAACAACTAGTCTAAATAAATAATTATTTACAACACCCACACCAATTACCCTAGCCCCACAGTAAGCATGTGTAGGCTTGTGTTATGGGATCCTAGGGTAACGGATATAATACATATACTGATACATATCTATATATATATATATATATATATAAAACTCAAAGGTGACTGACTGACATAGTGATCTATCAACGCACAGCCCAAACCACTGGACGGATCGGGCTGAAATTTGGCATGCAGGTAGATGTTATGACGTAGGCATCCGCTAAGGAAGGATTTTGATCAATTCTACCCCCAAGGTGATAAAATAGGGAAAGAAAGTTTGTATGAAACTTTGTCAATTTTAAAACGATCGGGCTGAGACTTTGCATGCAGGTATAAGAAGAATCATAGATGAATGTCATTGTGTATAATACAAGCCTGAGACCAAAAACTGTTGTCTACATTTCAGCTCTACATCTCTTTCGCGAAGCGAGGGCGGGCCGCTAGTATTAGTATATTTGTATAGGAATACATATTAAATATCCATGACTGGAGTACAAATGCTTGTATTCATCACACAAACATATGCGCCCCCAATGGGATGCGAACCCGGGACCTCTCGAGTAGGCGATACTTTGAAACTTGGCATACTACCACTCGGCCACGGAGGTCGTCACAGATGGACAGATAAAAGAGGATAAGTATTAGGGTATTTTTATCTGTATCCAAGTACTTAAGATCATCATCATCAGCCTATTAATGTCCCCACTGCTGGGGTACATCCCATCCCTATGGCTGGAATAGGGAGATTTGGCCATGACCCACCACGCGGGCCCAGTGCGGATCGATGGGTGCTAACGACTGCAGATGAAGCTGGGACCAAAGGCTTAACGTACTTTCCGAAGCACGGAGGAGCTCGAGATAGTGAATTTTTGGTCACCCATCTAATGACCGACGACTGCAAAAGTTGCTTAACTTTAAAGATCGCAGCCGAAGGCGCTAACCACTTGCGTCATCGAGTACTTAAACCTAAACATCAATTGCTATATTTTGACGCTGCATCGCTTAACAAGGACTCGATTGATTTAGCTCATACATTTTTCTGTTGATGGTCTTCAGTGCAAGGTCAACCTTTATGTTTAAAATATTTTTAGGAACTCCAATAAAAAAACTGATTCAAAAAGATCTTTCTTTGTTAGGGTAAGTCAATTTGATTCAAATATTATTGTCCTTAATTTATTTTATTGCAATAAAATATTGATTAGAGTTCAGAAACCAACGCGTACAAAGAAATTTGGTGACTCATTTCTTTGTCGCACTATCCGTAAATGGAATGCTCTGCCCGCTCACGTGTTCCCTCCCTCTTACAACCTGGGATCCTTTAAAAGAGGCGTGAAGAAGCAACTTGCAGGCCGGCAGGGTGAGGATGGCTGGTGTGGCAGGTAGAACTGCTGTATCAGCTATCTTCGCGTCTGGACTTCACCTTCACTTAACATCAGGTGGGGTGGAGTCATTTGTCGGACCTATCTATATAAAAAAAGAAAAGAAAATACTTAACACCGAAACAATGAAATTTGTACAGTGCAACTACAGAACGCCTTCGCGTTATTCGTTTTTTAGAATTAAGTATCAACGAGTCGCAAGTGGAGTGAAGTGCATTACAAATCATATGATGGCCGAGAATCAGTTGGCTTGTGCAGGGAGATCATGGACCGGGCAGCTGCGGAGAAAGCGTTATTGGATAATCTGGTCAATTGAGTCGCGCCGGCTGGGCCGGGAGAGGCAGTCAACTGGCGTCCTATTAAAATACTACTATAATATATAACGTATTAAGATTTTGCATAGCGTTTTAAGAGAGGATATCGGATTTATCGCTCGAATTGGAGCGCCCGTCTGCGGAAGTAACTTACAGCTTTTTGTGTTTTTGTCGGTGAATAAGGTTACAGGGTCCGGCAACGAACCACACAGAACCATAACACCCGTTGGGCGAATACCGAGGGCTGCAGGCAATCTAAGGATATTTTTCCCAACCTCAACCCCAGACTAACTAGAAAACTACTAAATCTTAACCGAAATGATCTCCGAGTAATGCTAGGCACCATAACAGGGCACTGCCCACTTAACAAGCATTTACTAACCATACGCGTTACAGATATCTCTCTATGCAGAGGATGTCTGGAAGCAGATGAAACGGCCGCTCATGTGATCCTGGAATGCACGAGCGTTGCAGAACACCGGGCATCAATCCTCAGGAAGCCGAGGACGCTCCTAGAAGCCTGTGAGAGCCCCAGGAGGCTACTGCGCTTCTGGAAGGAGCTGGGCTGGCTGAGCTAGCTAACCCAACATACCCTGCACGCACAATGGACCAAGTACGGAGTCTACGTGCGGAAACGGGGGCCCACAACAAGTAACAACTAACAAGTAAGGTTAAAGGGCTCCACGATGTAGGGAATTAGGTCAGTATCGCAACCGTCTTTAGGCTATGATGATCGCTTACCATCAGGCAGGCCAAATGCTAGTTTTCGCCTTTTAACGTAAAAAAAAATATTTAAAATCTTTTAAATTTATCTTCAAAGATTTACGTAGTGTCTCTCGACAAATTGGTTACTAGACTGTAAAATTTTCTCAACCGTATTTATGAATCTCACCTATGTCTTGCAACAAAAGCTGAAGATCAGCTGAAGAAATATGCCTAAATTATTGTTGATTGTACCAAAACGCTACCACGCTACATTGCGAGAAGAAATGCGTAAAATCGTATAACTTTCTTAACTGGTAGTGATGGGGTGAAAAACATAGCATACACTGCTGACGTTCAGATAATTAAAAGCTTATCAACGGACAGAATATCCGGAAACTATTATAGGCGATAAACTTACAAACTGTCACTATTATGTTCATTCATTTTAAAATCAAATTTAAACTGGTGCTGACACTAACTTTCCGATAGAGAGAATAGCCTCTATGAGAATTCTTCGTTTCCATTTTCTATTTTCAGTATGCTACATGAGTTACATAGATTCTCCTCTTGTATAGTTTTCATTGCAATAAATTCCTCCGCAGTGGGGTACGGAATGAATGTGGTGGCAGTAGAGGCTACCCAAATAATCCAGATCCAGTGCGGATTGGTAGATGAGACCGACTACAATTGCAGCCAGGACGAACGTGCCTATCAAGTTTTTAGCTGTACCCCCCACGACAACGGCTAACTAGAGCCGAGCTCCGAGTCTTAGAGACGCCCTCTAGTTGAGCCAACCCTCTCAGGTTCCAGTGGTCTAGAGGCTCCAGACGGAGAGGAGACCCCCCCGTGGGGAGATGCCATTCGCCTGGAATACCTCTAAAGGCATTCGCCAATTCCTCGGCTTGAGGTCCCCTTAGGATCTCGCCGTCCCCAAACCCGGTGACGCTGTAAAGGTCATCTCCGACAAACAGCAAACACACGCAACACAACTTTTAGACCGACTCTCATTATAGAAATGCAAATAAAATTCGAAGACCTCCGTGGTGGAGTGGTGTGTACATTGGTTTTAAAAGTGTCGCCTCCTCAGAGGTTCTGAGTTCGATATCCTATGCGATTGCTTAAATGATGAAGGCCAGCATTTGTAACTAATTCATGGCTGTTTTTATGTTTTTTTCTACAAAAATATGCTTATATTTATTTAGGTATATTTTTATATTTATATTCAAGTATCACATAACAGCAGTGCTTATTTTTGTGCGATGCTAATTGGAGTGAGTGTAAGAAATATTGTAATATTATTGACAATGGCGTTTCACACTCGCAAACTATTCGAATTCTATATTTGTTCGTGCTAAGGGTACTGTTTACTTAAATGAAAAGGGTGGCGAACAAGCGAAGTATTATGAAGGTTTTTACAAAGGAGACCCGGCACTTTTCATAGAAAAAATGCTAAACTTGTATACAGTTGAATTTGGTCTCAAAATAAAGCCAAAATTATTTGCTACATAAAACTACTTTTGCCTTATTTTTAGTGAATCGTGGAAAGAAGTTATTTAATGATTAATATTTTTTGATATAGAAACCCTTTTGATGACAAACCTGCGTATTTGACATTGACAGCTAGCTACTGATGACAAATATTGCCAGACTACGTTACCCAATTATGAAACACAGATAAAAAAAATAAAAAAGTATACAACTTTGGCACAAAATGCCGCGTGTCATTTCCTATAGGTTGGAGCACCCGTCTGGGTAAGTGATGTTCTGCTAACAGAAGATCATAGCTAAACAGTTTCCGTTGGCGGTGTCGTGATTCTGTTGATGAGTAAACCTTACAGAAAATTGCACTTCCTTTTCGTTGGTGCTGTCGTGTTTCTGTCAATGAATAAGGTTTCAAGGCTGCGCAGGACATGTTCGGGTATGCAACGTCGCGTGTTTTCGATATCCAAGGAGGATAATATTTAGTTATTTTCATACCTCCATTCATCCCATTCAAGTTCTATTTCTATATATAAAACTCAAAGATAGAAACAAAAAGAAAACTAAAACTCAAACTGACATAGTGATCTATCAACGCACAGCCCAAACCACTGGACGGATTGGGCTGAAATTTGGCATGCAGGTAGATGTTATGACGTAAGCATACGCTAAGAAAGGATTTTTATCAATTCTACCCCTAAGGGGATAAAATAGGGAATCAAATTTGTAATGAAACTTTTCAATTTTAAACTGATCGGGCTGAGACTTTGCATGTAATTATAAGAAGAATCCTAGATGAATGTCATTGTGTAAAATACAAGCCTGAGAACAAAAACTGTAGTCTACACTTCAAGCTCTACACCGAAGCGAAGCGAGGGCGGGCCGCTAGTTCTCTATAAACAGTAAAAGGTACCTTTTGTCACCAACTCAAAAAATATTACAATCAATACAGCGGTTA